CACACTCTTCTGCCATCTGAGCAAGGAAGGCAAGAGGGTGATGGGCATACTTTTCTAGACCATAAGATGGGGACCCTATGTGGACGAAATGTCTTCAAATAGTTCCTTTGGTGCAAGGCCCTTCCAGAGTGAGAAAAACCTGCCAAGGCCTAAAAAGCTTTTCAGTGATTCAAATATGTTACCATTATCCAGATGAAGAAATGGGCTCAGATGGGTTAGGTGCTGATGCAAGGCCGTGGAAGCCCTGAGGATGGACCCAGCCGACCCTCAGAGTCCTTTGTAGCTCTGAGCCTGTGAGTCTGCTACGTAAAAGCCATTGTCCAAACCCAAGATCAATTGGGTCATTCTTCCACTTGAGAGCAAATTGGAACCAACCCAATTGCCCAATGGAGAATGATTGTTTACTACCAACTTGAGAGAGAGTGTTATCTCTTATCCTTTAAAAACCATCCATGTGAGTGTGATGTGGTGGCCTGTTAAAATGCCTGTGATGTAGTGTTAAACGAAAACAGGAAACACGAATGTGTGCTTACCTAACTAGGCAGTGCACAGAGTGCGCAGAGGCAAGAACTGCAGCAAACTTAGACCGGTGACAACGGGATGTTGGAGGGAGAGTTGGGTGATACCTTTTTTGTTATTATTGTTGCATTGTTTTTTATGCAGCTTGGAGGTTTGGCTCCTTCCAGCTCACAGACAAAATGCAGACGGGGCCATGCAGCATCCAAGGCTTTGCGCACTGGCCCCATCTATGCCTCGCCATTCTGCCACCCCTCTCCAGGCCCCAGCCACGGGGCCCTCCCAGGACCGTAAGCCTTCGTGCTCATGTCTCCACCAGGAACACCCTGCTGCCCAGTTTACTACCTGACTAAATGGTGCTCATTTGCCACTGAAAATGTCACTTACCACCCGCCCCCCCAACAAAAAAGATACACCAGAAACTCACCATATCGCTTGACTTTAATGAGGGCCTAGGGCCAGACGTGGGATAGAGACACAAAGTATTTTTTTAAATACGACTTTATTGAGATATAAGTCGCATACCACAGCATTTGCCCATGTAAAGTATACAATTCAATGGCTTCAATGGTTTTAGTACATTCAAAGAGTTGTGCAGCCATCGCCAGGCACATATCCTTTTGTGCCTTTAGGATTTTGAACGTGTGAATGTATTACTAATTCACATAAGAGAAGGAATACAATTAAACACACACATAGCTGCCACCTCCTCTCTGAAGCCCTCCCAGACTCCCACAGGCCATAGGCAAATCCCTCTTCTGTGCTCTTGTCTGGCATAGCTCTCATCCCAATGTTTTTAATTGTTTGCAAAAAGACCTCCCTCAGCCCAGAGACTTTGAGCTCTTTGAGGGCAAGGATCGGGGGATACTCATTGTTGTGCACCAGTGCAACTCCGGCATTCAGGAAGAGTCCAAGAAATGTTTGATGAATGAATGAATGAAGACTTCTCTGCTCCAGGATAGATGGGGCGAGGTAGGAAGTGCAGGCTTATAGCCTGGAGAGGCCAGAGGGCTACTCAGTCCTCCTCACTGTCATCCTTGTCCCCAGCCCAACCCCACCTCCTGCCATCCCCACCTTGTCCCTTACACCACCCCCTCACCACCCCTACTCCCTTCTCCTATTTTGACCCCACTTTGACCTCCACCCATCTTTGTTTCTTGAATAGACTGTTATTTGAAATGCAAAGACTCATTGCTGGCGTGTTGGCACTAGCAGTGTGAGCTTCATGGAGTCAGCGCAGCCTCTTCCTCTGAGTGTCCCTCACTCCACCGTGACATGACTAGAAGGCAATTTTATTTAGGGCAATGATTATTACTGTAGAATTAATAGGGGCCTAACACACGGCAGGGGCTGGAAAACACTTGCTGAATGAATAAAGGACTTATGAGTCTCTCGGGCAGCTGAATGAAATCGTTGCGGTCACAGGACCCAGGCGTGGAGAGGAGGAATGTCACAGAAGCTACGGGCCCGCCACAGAGCCTGAGTAGAGCAGACGTGGCCGCCTGTGTCAGGGTGGGGATGGGGCAGGCTCGCCGGCAGCCCGGGCCAGACCACAGGCAGGGTAGACATGAACCCGAGGTACCCCAGGGAACTCAACAGATTTGCCCCAGAACTTTGTGACTTTGTGACTCTGACCCTTTCAACGTCCCTGGGAGGCATTCCTCAGGTCCGGTTGCTTCTTTCTTGAAGCTAGAAGGACACATTTCAGCAGAGCTCTCCAACAGGCCACCTCGGGGTCCTTTCCTCACAGTCCGTGGTACACGCAGGCCTTGGGGCAGTTTGGGCCATACGCTCTGACCCCGGTGGGGAGCCCCACTGCACACCCCTCGGTCAGCAGGTGAGCCACAGCAGCCTGGCCCCCCCAGACCTCAGCCTGGGGCCACCTTCCCCTCTTCTCTGCACCTGGATAAGCCACATGCGGAACAGCCATGGAAGCGGCCCCGGCTGCCCACACCATTTGTTTTGGGGGCAAGACAGAGCGTTTCTGCCACCAGGGCCCAAATTTCTTCAGACAAGAAAATACAAGAAAGTCAACACAAGATATTTATCTGTGCTGAGAGGGTAAAGAGAAGCTAACTCACTGAGCTGAGACAATGGAAAGAAGAAACAGCAACAACCACCGGCTCTGCCTTCCCCGCGAACCTAAAACGTGGTTCCCACGGCTTTCAGTCCGTGGATGAAGTTCCCTTTGCCAGGACTTAGTTCCTTTCCAGCCCACATGGTTGACCTGGGGGTCCAGACAGTTCTCAAGGGAACCACAGGATTCCATGTGGCCTGAGCTCTGGGTTCGTCATGTCCCTTCAGGTCACGAGCTGAGTTGGACCCAAATCTGTGCCCTGAACTCCCCTCCTGCCGGATCCTGCTCAGGCAGTGACCTCCCCTCGGGCTGGGTGGGCCGCCTGGGCTTCTTGCTGGGGAAGGGACCCCCCTCTTGTCTTGATCTCATGGTCCCCAGAAAAGACACTGGTAGGAGCAGGCAAGCTGCAGAAGCAGAGGCAGGGACCACAGACGGCGTGAGTCTCTCTGGCCCCGATGCACCTGAGCAGACCGGGTCTTGGAGCCCCACCCTCTCCTCACTTACTCCGCCCCGAAGCCCTTCCTGGCAAATTTCCAATTCTTATTTGTGCCCAGCCAAAGTCCACAGCCCAGGAGGGGCGGCCTGGAGGCTACTGCCCTGACCAGGTCAGGCCGGTCCCCACGCCTGATTGGGCAGCTCCTGCCCCTGGTTGCCTGAACTCCTGAGGCTTTTTGGTTCCTGTCCGCAGTGACATTCCGGCCATCTACACTGGCAGCCCCAGAGGAATAGAGGCCACTGTCTCCATGGCCCTGGGAACAGATGACCTTCATCATTCTACCCACAGACCCCGACCTGTTGCTGTCACCTGACCACTCTGCACTCTCACAGACACCCTCCGCATGGCCTGTGTAAACAGCAGGAACTTGGAAGAGGATTATTTGGCAGTGTAGACAGATGCTAAGATGACAGGAGGAAGGTTTTTGTTCAGACAGTGAGAGGCAGAGAGACAAGCTGAAGGAAGCGGTCCAGAGGCATGTCTCCCACAGGAGATAGCCGAGCATCGTCCTCTCAAACGAGACAGCCCCTGCAGGTCCCAGGCTTCCCCAGCCCAGGGACAGAGGAGGACACCAGAATCGAGGGATGGAGGGGAGGGGACCACAAGACCTGAGGCAGCAAGGACGTCCCCCAGGACCTCAGAGGGAAATAGCTGGGAGGAGATGCTGATGTAGGAAGAAGACTGGGAGGAGGAGGACGGTGCCAGGATGAGAGGGAACAGAGAAGCACCTGCCGAAGACCCGAGACTCACACGTGGGCCTTCTAGGGACCCTGCCTGGAGGCTTGGGAGAACAGTCTGGTCTGTACAGGCCCCAGGGCAGAGGAGAGCTGGGCAGGCCCATGAGAGCTTCTGAATGTACTTAAGGCCACTGAATTGTCACTTGAAAATGGCTAAAATGGCAAATTTTGTGTTATTTATTTATTTTTTTGAGACAGAGTCTCACTCTGTTGCCCTGAGTAGAGTGCCATGGCGTCAGCCTAGCTCACAGCAACCTCAAACTCCTGGGCTCAAGGGATCCTCCTGCCTCAGCCTCCCAGAATGCTAGGATTACAGGTATGTATGTTTTAAACAATAAAAGAAAAAAAGTACAGTCGCTTTGGAAAACAATCTGGTAGTTCCTTAAAAGGTTAAATGTAGGATTACCATATAACCCAGTAATTTCACTCCTAGGCATAGACCCAAGAGAAGGGAAAACATATGTTCACACAAAAACTAGCGGCATTATCCATAATAACCAAAAAATGGAAACAACTCAGCTGATGAGTGGATAAGCAAAATGTGATATATCCATCCAATGAGATATTATTTAGCCATCAAGGAGTAAAGTATTAATAATATACATGACAACATGGATGTCCTTCAAAAACATTATGCTAAGGAGGCTGGGCGCAGTGGCTCACGCCTGTAATCCTAGCACTCTGCGAGGCCGAGGCGGGCAGGTTGTTTGAGCTCAGGAGTTCGAGACCAGCCTGAGCAAGAGCGAGACCCCGTCTCTACTAAAAATGGAAAGAAATTAATCAGACAACTAAAAATATATAGACAAAATTAGCTGGGTATGGTGGCGCATGCCTGTAGTCCCAGCTACTCGGGAGGCTGAGGCAGAAGGATCGCTTGAGCCCAGGAGTTTGAGGTTGCTGTGAGCTAGGCTGACACCACGGCACTCACTCTAGCCAGGGCAACAGAGCAAGACTCTGTCTCAAAAAAAAAAAAAAAAAAATTATGCTAAGTGAAGGAAGCTGGTCACAAAGGATCATCTACTGTATGAGTCTATTTACATGAAATGTCCAGAATATAGGCAAATCCATTGTGACAGAAAGTAGAGGGCTGCTTATCTAGAGCTGGGGAGGGTTTGCGGGGGAAACAGGGAGTGACTGCTAACAGGTACAGAGTTTCTTTCTGGGTGATAAAAATGTTCTGGAATTAGTGGCAATGGTTGCACAACTTTGTGAATATACTAAAATCATTAGAGTGTGCACTTTAAAAGGTACATTTTATGGTATGTAAATTATGTCTCTTTTTTAAAAAAAAATTGTTAGAAAATTTTTTTTCTAACAATAGGAGTCTAAAAATAGGAGTCATCTGGGGAAAAGCCTGGCCATGCCCCCAGGCTCCTGGCCAGGCCGTCCTCCCCTCTCTGGGACGGGGACTCAGCACAGCTGGGAGCCAGGAACCTGAGTGCCCCTGTGTCAGGCATCACAGGCTCAGGATGCTCCTGGCTCCAAGGTGGGGTTCAAGGGAGGGCAACGGAAGAGAGGGGACCTCAAGGCCCAGGGGGATGGACAGACATCAGGGGTGGGAGGAAGGAGAAGAGGGAACCAGGCTGCCCACCCAGTGCCCAGCTGCTCCTACCCCTCTCAGTCTGCCCTGGAGCCCTTGGCCAGATTCCCCAACCCAGGGACCACCTAGCTGTGACAGAAGCCCCCGTGGGAGAAGGCAGGAAGGTCGGGGGCACAGGCAGCAGCCTGCGGCAGGCAAGCCAAGGGATTGACCTCACAGGCCCCAGCATCCTGGTCCCCCTGGAAGTAGATGGAGTCAGCGGAGGAAAAGGAGGGGTCCTCATCAAAGAAGTTGTAGGGTCGGAGGAAGAAGCCCACGCCGTTGCCCACAGTCACCGTGTTGGGAATGTCCTCTGAGTGTGGGATGTGCAGAAATCCAGCTGTCACCCAGGCCACCAAGTCCTAGCAGGGGAGAAGAAAGAGGATCATGAAGTGTGGCTTTGCTGAGGACATGCCCTGCCTCCCACAGTGGCCTTGCAGGTAGCAATTCAGCTCACCAGCCTAGAATTTCCTAATTTCTCAGGAAAAATGTGAAATCATAAAGTTTCCTTTCTTAGTGGATTCTAAAGGCCCCTGAGGAATCTGGCTTGGGAGAGAGTGAAGTGGCTCATTCTTGGTCCCCCAGCCTCTGTCCCCATTCCCACCCCCCCCACCGCTCCCTCCCTGGCCTTTCGACTGACCCGCCCTGCAACGGTCTCATTGTTGATGAAGTCAGTGAAGTCCACAGTGGGTGTCCAAGGGTCATTCAGATTGTAGATGCTGGTGCTACTGGGCTCCTCCTCTTTCCGCTGGGTCACAGCCAGCTGGTACCTACAGGAGATTTTGGTTAGACCTACAGGGCCATCAGCTGTCCCGCGACCTGCAGCTGCACTGAGGAGACATGCAGAGGGGAAGGAGCACAAAGGTCTAGGGGTGTGGAGTCTCTTTACCATTCTCTGCCCCGTTCTCCCTGCGCCCTGTAGAGGCCCCCCATCTGTTCAATATCCTGTACCTTAAACACCGGATGGCCCATTGTTCAGATTTCAGGTAGAAATGTTGCTCATCATCCACCAGATCAGAGCCTGTGGTTGAGAATGGGCCTCGGATCCCTACATACAGACAAGGCTCGATTCCCATCCTCGGTCAAGTTTAGTACCTCAAATGCTTGGATTCTAGGGAATCCTCTCTTAGGTCTGTGTTCCTCTCTCATTTTTTGTTTGTTTGTTTTGTTTTTTGTTTTTGTTTTTTGAGACAAAGTCTTCCTCTGTCTCCCCGGCTAGAGTGCAGTGGAGAGGTCGTATCTCACTGCAACCTCAAACTCCTGGGCTCCAGCAATCCTCCTGTCTCAGCCTCCCAGAGTACTAGGATTATAGGCGTGAGCCACCATGCCTGGCCCACTCTTTGTTTTTCCCTCCAACCTTTAATGTGGTTGGAGGAAAAAACAAAAACCTTTAATGTTTTAAGCACACAAAAGTTGGAAGAACTGTGTAGTGAACACCCTTATACCCACAGCCTGGATTCTACCATTTGCTACGCTTGTTTCAATGCTTCATGTCTCACCGTTCCTAGGCTTCATTCTGCGTGGCTAAGGATTGTGGCCACAGGAATGTGTGTGTAGGTTTGTTTGCACGTGCACCTATAGGAGGTGGAGCAATGGGGGCCCTTCATACAAACTCCTCCATCCCCTCTGTGGCGGCCACTCACCTCCCCCAGCTGAGGGCTCTCTCCACGGAGCTGTTCTGGGGCAGCGGCTCCCCGGCAAAGCTGAGCATCTGGATGCGGTAGCCCCGCGGGTGACCCCACTTGTTGCTGTGGTTGCTGGCCAGGTACAGGTAGCGAGGGATGGCCCCTCCCATGGGGAAGGAGGCCTGGTCCTCTGTCTGCAGCAGCTTCCGGGTCACCTGCAACCTCTGTATCTGGTGCTCGGGGCTCCAGGGCACAGCCGTGGGAACAAAGGCCATGTCCTCGGCCCAGACCCAGTTCTCCTGTCCTGCGTCAGGGGGGAAGGGCCTGTCATGCAGCCACCCTGGCCTCTCTGGACTCTGCCCCCATCTAGCCTCAGAGTGGGGGCCAAAGAGCAGCCGAGAACTGAGTGTTCCCTTACTTCCCCCTCCCCAAGTTATCCTCAATCCAGAGATCTGGAGTGGGTCTTTCTCCCTAATGTCATCTCAGGTAATAATCCCAGATGCCTTGTGACTAGGCCTCCACCAGCCTTCTCCCTCTGAGGAGCTGCTACAGAGGGTGTTTACCTGTGGTTGGAACAGCCTAGTGAGCCATGCACACTGTGGCATTCCTTCTGCCCTAAAGAGGGGTCTTCCCTCCTCATCTAAAGCCCCTTGGCATCACCAGAACGGCCTTATCATGAAATAAGGCCCACACTCACTGAACTTGAAGGAAGTCTGCCCAGGCGGCATTCTGAGTGCTTTATGTGTATCGATGCTTTTACTTTTATGACAACCTTCTGAAGGAGGAACTATAATTGTCCCCATTTTACAGATGGGACAACTGAGGCTTAGAAAATTTAAATAATTGCCTTGGTTGTTCAACAAGGGCACACAGTTAGTATCATGGCAGTGCTGGGGATGCTGGTCTTAGTATCTAATTCTACACCACCCACACATCAGCACAGAGGAAGGCAGCACAGAGTGACCCCACAGCATATAGACAGCAGAAATGGTGACCAAAGGGAAGAAAAACCAATGTGGGGACCAATGCTGCTGGGGCTTGGAGTTTGAAACTTGTCAGGGAGGTAGGAGTAGGGCCAAAGGCACAGTCTGTTCCCTGAACTTATAATTTTATTAGAGTCTAACTAGGTTCCATGTTAGGAGTCAACTGAAATGATCTGAGACCAAATCAAAACATGTTGGCAGCTCCCTCCATATCTTCCAAGGCCCAGGAGAGAACAGAGACTGATTCAGCAAACCCTCACTGCCCCTAATCCACACCCCAGGGTTTCTAGCCTTAGGTGACAATTACAGACTAAGAGTTCTTTCTGTGCCATTCACACAGTGGGGCTCATGTAGGGGCCAATAACAACAAGAATAGATAATATTTCTGAAGGGTTCACTATGTGTCAAGTACTGCTCCAAGTGCTTTACAAGTTGTGATCATTTAGATACAGAGATAAAGATAAGTGTGTGTGTGTGTGTGTGTGTGTGTGTGTGTGTGTGTGTGCTGGTTCGAGCATACACTTAAGTTTTATAGCTAAGTCCACTAAGAGGGCCTACAAGCAATGGCATCCAGTAATAATGAACACATCTGGTGCCCAGATCTTGGTTTCTAAATACCATGCTCCAATAAAAGGAACCAGAACTCCTCAGAGACGTGGTTGATTCCAAGGCTGGAGCAGAGAAAATACCAGATGAAATTGGAACATCTTGTGGTGCCAGAAAGTAAGGAAGTGCTCAAAAAAGGTTGGGGGGAGACATGACAAAAGGACATAGGAACCAACCTAAAGGACCTCCCAATGGCCAAAGTTGGAAATATGTAAGGAACAAAATAAATGATAGTACTGGGTTATAACCCTTAGAATACAATAAATAACCCTGAGTCCATACGATTATGAATAAATAACTGAATACATAAATAAATGAAAAAGAATGGACAATTGTTCGTTATGGAAAATTCCAATTAATAAATTATAAGGAATTAGGAAAAAACATTAACGGATAAAGAAAATGTGGTATATATACTTAATGAAATACCATTCAGTCTTAAGAGAGAAGGGAATCTCATTTGCAACAATGTGTATGAGCCTGGAGGACATTATGTTTAGTAAAATAAGTCAGACACAGAAAGACAATACCACAGATTTCACTTCCATGTGAAATCATAGGAGCAGGGAGTAGAATGGTGGCTACCAGGGGTTTGGGGAGGGTGGGGTTCCGGAGATGTTGGTCAAAGGATACAAAATTTCTGTTAGATAGGAGGAACAGGTTTGAGAGATCCATTGTACAACATGGTGACTATAGTTAATAACAATGAATCGTACTCTTGAAAATTGCTAAGAGTAGATAATAAGTATTCTCACCACAAAAAAAAAATAAGTGAGGTAATGCATATATGCTAATTAGCTCAACCTGGCCATTTCACAGTGTATACATATTTCCAAAACAAAATGTTGTACATGATAAATATATATAATTTTTATCTGTCAACTTTCTAAAAAATCAAAAAAAAGAGGAAAAAAGTTTAGATAACCAGTAGGGAACCACCATAGTAGTATTTGTTGCAGGTAAAGCCCACCAAAAGATGCTAAAATTAGTGGGCAAAAGTTTGAGGAAAAAAGAAATAAGATATTTGCATTGCATCAAAGTATTTTTCCCAAGATGTTTATTAATTGCAAATGGAAAATACTAACTTTTATGATGGAGAAAGCTGAAAGACACCACCTTAACCAAGTTCATGAGGTAGACACCACTGTGATAAGACATGTTGACATCATGTATATTTTGATATGATGCACTGAGGACATAACTCATTTCTATGGTTTTCTTGCCAAAAAATGCAAGATCTCAATGTCCTGATCTCAACCTAATCATGACAAAACAGAGAAACCCAGACTGAGAGATATTCTACAAAATAATTGACCAGTACCCTTCCAAAGTGTCAAGGTCATGCAAGACAAGGAAAGCCTAAGAAACTGTCACAAATTGGAGGAGACTAAGGAGATACATCTAAATGCAATGTGGGGATCTGGATTAGATCCTGGAACAGAAAAAGAGCATTACTGGAAGAACTAATGAAATTCTAATAATGTCTGTAGATGAGTTAATATTGTTGTAATAATGTTAATTTCCTGTTTTGATCATGGCCTATGGTTTTTTTTTTTTTTTTGAGACAGAGTCTCACTGTGTTGCCCGGGCTAGAGTGCCGTGGTGTCATCTTAGCTCACAGCAACCTCAAACTCCTGGGCTCAAGCGATCCTCCTGCCTCAGCCTCCCGAGTAGCTGGGACTACAGGCATGCGCCACCATGCCCGGCTAATTTTTTCTATATATTTTTAGTTGTCCAATTAATTTCTTTCTATTTTTAGTAGAGATGGGGTCTCGCTCTTGCTCAGGCTGGTTTCGAACTCCTGAGCTCAAACGATCCGCCTGCCTCGGCCTCCCAGAGAGCTAGGATTACAGGCGTGAGCCACCGCGCCCAGCCATGGCCTATGGTTTTGTAAGATATTAAGGTTGGGGGAAGCTGGGTGAGGGGTCTATGGAAACTTTCAAACAATGTTGGCAACTTTTCTGTATGTCTAAAATTATTTCAAATGACAAAGTTTGTAAAACGTAGTCATCATTAATCCTCACAACAATCCTATTAGAAAGGCACTGTTGTATCAGTAGAGTTAACGTTAGGGTTAGGGTTAGGATCTGATGTGCAGAGAGGTCGAGCCTAAAAATGTTTCTATCATATACATCTTTCCAGGACCTCTCTATGTGTTCTCCACTCCTCTGTTAGAATGTAAGCTGCCTGAGAGAAACAATACTTTTTCTTTTGTTGAATTGTGTAGTACAGTGCTTGGCACAAGTATGCATTCATAAATATTTGTTGCTTGCTTGAATGATGTTGTTATATGAAAAAACAGAAACAGCAAAATATTCTTACATTATGATCCCATTTTTGTAATAGAAATCTAAATACTTATATTGGTATATCGTATTTGTACATAGTATACAATATAACAGATTCTATCATCACAGAGGCAATTTTTAAAAGTATGAAAGAATTTTTTTTAACTATGGGAGAATAACCAACCTGCTAAGGATGAGAAACACTGAAGAGGATGACTTTTTACTTTTACTTCATATACTTTTACATTTTTAAGTTTTCAATGAACGCTTTCAAAGCTAAGCATGGAACGTGCAGCCCTCTCCTCTGGCACCCTTGCCCCTGCGGGATGTCTTACCTGCTACATCCAGATCCACCTTGAAGTGTGCACTGTGCGTGTGGACCGTGCCCAATGTGTGCTGCCCAACTTGGTTCCCATATCTCCGGCCAGCACCAAAGAGGAATGTTGAGCTGATGTAGCCCGTGGCATGGAGTCTGACTTCTACGGCCCCATTGGGGTGGAAGACCATATCCCACACATAGTCGTAGTTGAGCATAGTAGACACAGATCTGATGACCAGCACTGTCTCTGCAAGGCCCCCAAAATAGTGGGAGTGTAAATCTGAGTGGTGTCTCCTCAGGGGGAGGCCCTGGTTCTGTTCAAACACACAAAAGGCATCGTGCAGTGTCTTGGGGGCTTGGGACTCCAAAAGGAAGTGCCAGTCCACATAGGTGGCCAGGTAGGGGCAGTCCACCCCACGGGTCAGAGGCGTAGAGAAGTGGCCCAGGCCAAAGCCACCATCTGTGTACCGGCTTCGTAGAGCAGAAGGAGAATTGCCCCCATAGATGGCCAAGGCCTCTTGAAGGCTGATCTCATAAGCCAGCCGTTCTCCCTGGAAGCGGACGTCAAAGATCCTTGGGCCACTGAAAGCTCCAAGGCCAAAGGAGAAAGTCCACAATGAGGAGGCCACTCGACGCCCCTGGACACTGAAGCGGGGGCCCTGGGGATGGAACTGCAGAGGGGGAGCCGGACCTGGGGGCACCTGGGGCTTCAGGGACCAGGACCCACCTGTGCCATTGTCTGGGATCAACACCGCATTCACCAGGCCGGCCTCAAACTGGTCCTCCAGCTGGGCCAGACTCTCATAGTAGCGGCCTTGATAGAACACCTTCTGGATGGTCCAGTGGGCAGGGTCCAGGGCCTTGTGGTCTACCAGCAGCTCCAACCCCACAGGGTGCAGGAAAAACCCAGCCCCTGAAATGTTGTAGTAGAGGCCAAACCAGGTTGCCCGGTCCCCTGACTGCAGACCACGTGGGGCTGTGGTCATTGTCACCAGATTCCTTCCTTGGCGTTTGTAGAAGCAACAGTGGTGGAGGAGACCAGCCGCCTGGGGCAGCTCTCTGTCGAAGATCATCTGGTCTATGTCCAGGTACTCTCGGGCCAGCACGGGGCGTCGGTGATAGGGCAGGGGGCCTCCATGACGCTCCACGGTCACGTCCCGCATGTAGGAGGGGTGAGGCAGCGGCCCCACCACCAGCTCACTCACGTTGGGCTGGGGTTGTCCACCAAAGAAGACGATGGCCAGTGCCTCCCGGGCAGGTGGGGCCTTCCCCCTGTCCAGGTGGGCCAGGGCCGCAGCCTTGGGGGGCAGCTGCAGCTCCACTGTGAAGACACAGTTGTCTGAGGGCTGGGCCTGGGCTGCATCCACCAGCCCAGGCCCCAGCCGCTGGGTCAGAAAGTTCATCACGGCCGTCAGCTCCTCTCGGCTCAGGTCTGCAAACAGCTGGCTCTGGCCAGGGTGTGACCCGGGCTGGGCACTGGGAGATACAGAGGGACAGGGGGGAGTCAGGCCTGGGTTACAGTCCCTCTCAACTCCTTTCTCACTCCCAGCTCCACCTTCGGCCATGCCTGTCACCAGGACACTAAATAGGGACAATGTAATGAAAATGGCCATAGCTAAAGCTCCTGGTCTGTCCTCAGGCTCTGGATCCTGAATGCAGGTGGGAGACAGACAGAAAAGTAAACAGATAGGACCTGGGCGCAGGATTCCTTTCTTAGCCTCCGGAGGATCTGTCTCTGGGCGGTTCTGCTAGGCAACAGGCAAGATGGACAATGTGGAAGAGAAGTGGCCAAGGGTAGAGGTTTGGGGGGGTGGAGCTGGGGTGCCAGGGGCCAGGCCAGGTTCAGGAGGTGGGGCAAAAGTAGGAACCTGGACTTTAAGTGGCCATGTGAGCTTCTGTCCTCCTGTTCCAGATCAAACAACACACTCAGGGTCAGGGTTGGGGAATCAGGTGGGTGGAGGGGTGGCTTTTGGAGACAATGGCTGGGGGAGGCCAGAGGAAGGAGAAGTGGGGCTGTCCCGGGGCTTTCCTTTGTCTGTGCTCCAGAGGGGACCTTTCTCCTGGCTACACGGTGGCAAGCAAGACTCACCTGGCTGCACCTCTGTAGCCAGATTCCCTCCTACCCTACTCTTGTTTCCTGGGCCTTCCAGGCTTTGCTCCCCACCACTGTCTCCTGCCCACCTCCACCAGCCGGAAGCTCACCAGCAGCCCAAGGGGAGCGTGAGAGTCCTGGTGAGAAGGCAAAGCCTCTGGGAGGAGCTGGGGGGCTGGTGCCCTGAGCACCCTGGGTCACTGGAGGGCAGCGTGAGGGAAGCGGCCTGGCGCATTGCTGTGGGGGGTGGGGGCACAGGATGCAGAGTGTAACTGAGACCCTCATGGCTTGTCCTTTTGCAGGACTGCCTGACAGCCCAGGTCAGACATCAGGTGGGCTGGGAAACTGGCTGTGGAATCAACCCAGTAGCCCAAAGCTCTCACCTCCAGAAAGGAAACCCTCCTCTAAAATGTTGCCAATGTGGAGAGCAAAACTGCCTCTGTCCCTCACAGCCGATGGCTGGCTTTTCCAGAAGCCACTGTCATCTGAGCAGCCCTGTCCTAAGGGGAACCGGGAGAGACTGAGGGTTCCAGAGAGGAGACCTCCTTCCCTCATCACCTGGGCAGAATCCTCTGCAACCTGGACATGTCCAGGAAGACTTTTCAGAAAGAAACATGTGAGCTGACCTTTTTGTTTGTATGTTTGAGACAGGGTCTTGCTGAAAGGATGGCATTGCAAACAAACTATCCAATAGAAAAAAATAAACGATCTAATAGGAAAAAGAGAGAAAGATCACAGCACACAACTGCCCCTTTGTTTGATTAACCACCTGTGGCTTAACTTGTGGTCTTGCAGAGTTGGCTTTTACAGTGCTTGAAAAGAACTGAGCACATAGAAGGAGCATGACCCTCCCCCAGTTCCCGGCAAATCACATTCCAAGGAGACTGATAAGCCAGCCTCACAGAGAAGAGGGAAAAAAGGAAAAACAAAGGCAGCCACTTCACAGCTGCCTTCTGCTATCAGCTTGCAGCAATAACTTTTTAACCCCTTATAACCCTCAGTAAAAAGCCCAAAACCTTCACCCTCAGTGCCAATACTTCTTCTTTTCTTTCTTTGGTGCTGCGCCCTTTCCTCCTTTGGAAAGTAAAATAAACTGTTTTTCTAAACCCGTCCTAATCTTATTGTCGAGAATTCTTTCTCATCCTGAGCTATGAGTTCCCACCCTAACACTTGTTCTGCTACTCAGGCTGGAGCGCAGTGGCCTCATCATAGCTCACTCCAACCTTGAGCTCCTGGGCTCAAGCGACCCTCCCACCTCAGCCTTCCAAGTACCAGGGACTACAGGTGCACGACACCATGCCAGAGTCTTGCTATTGCCCAGGCTGGTGTGAGCCGAAGAGATGCATTGCAAAGGCCCCTGAGCAAGATTCCTGATGCCAACAATCACCATCCTCCATGACCTGCCCTAGTGCATGTAGCCCCTTCTTAGTTACACCATGACCTGCCCCAAGGCACATGGCACCTCCTTAAAAAGCCCATGACTTCTTTAGTCTTGGAGATAGATTTGAGGTAGCTTCTCCCATTCTCCTGACAAGTTGTCTATGATATTAAAAATTTCATTCTTCCTTAGCAATCCTTGTTGTATCAGTAATTGGATCTTTGTGCGAGGAGCAACTAGATCTAGTCGAAACTTTCTTGTGATCTCAACAATAGAAGGAAGTGGGTGTGTGTCAACCCAGGGGAGAGAAAGGCTTTTGAGAGCTCCCCTAACACAGGAAAGGAGGTCTTTGGGGAATTCTGTGGGACTAACAAGTAGGGGCAGTGTGTGTGCATGTGTGTGTTTGTGTGTGCACACGTGCATGCGTGTCTAGAGCCCACTCTCCCACCCGGGATCTTGAGGAAGTGACAGCCAAGCGCTCAGGCCCCTCCTCCATCACCACCTTGAGCAGAAAGTGAGCGTGACAGCAGTGATCACTGCCAACTCAAGTCTAGCTGACGTCCCACAAAGTCCCAGATTCTTACCAAACCCTAAAATGAACACCCCAAAAAACATACCTGTAATTGAATTTCCTGCCAACCAGGTGGATGAGGGCACATAGCTAGTTATCTGATATAGAAAAATAAAGAAATGTGACTTTGTTAGGCTGCTGTGTGTTGCTATTAAGGAAACATCTGAGGTAATTTATAAAGAAAAGAGGTTTATTTGGCTCACGGTTTTGTAGACTGTACAAGAAACATGGCACCAGCATCCGCTTCTGGTGAGGGCTCCAGGGAGCTTCCAATCAATGTGGAAGGGGAAGGGGAAGCAGGTGTGTCACATGGCAAGAGAAGAAGAAAGAGAGGGAGGAGGTGGAGCCGGGGCTGTTAAACAACCAGTTCTCATGTGAACTAATAAAGCAAGAACTCACTCATTATCACAGGGAGGGCACAAGGCCATTCATGAGGGATCTGCCCCCATGACTCACATACCTCCCACCAGGCCCCACATCCAACACTGGGGAGCAAATTTTAACATGAGATTGGGAGGGGACAAATATCCAACCTGTATCAGTGACATTTAATACTTACCCCCAAATGTTGGGAAGTAAAATTCACACCCAGTATTCCCAGCAACTGAGCAGTAACGTGGAAATGCTGGACTGGAGAGCCTCTTGCAGGAAAGACAGAGACAATACGACTACTAGAACTAAGGCAGAAAAGTGTCATGGAAACCGTTCTTGTGACCTTCAGAATAAGAGTGAATAAAATCTAGTGTCAGGCCCATTGAGGGCAGTCCCACAAGGCAAGGCATCCCGGCCAGGGAACCTGAGTCTGGGCTCTTTGGTAAGTTATGGTCAGTGGTGGGGAGGTGCCTCCAGCTCCCAACTAAGAACATACCGTCAAGATGGCTAATGATTCTGAGTCCTGACCTGCGCTACCAAGGAGTCTTCACTCTGGGTGGGTGTCACCAGGGCCTCCTATGGGGTGGTGGCTGATGGCCCAGGGGCAGAGCCCTTTGGGGTGGCTGGTGGGGGTAGGGAACCGCCTTCCTTAAGCAACTGGCTTTCACATTGTTTCCTCTACTATCTTTTCGTCCTAGCCTTAACAATTGCCATATCAGTTACTCTAAAAGCTTATTGCAAAGGTGTCCTTCATGGAGAATTACTCTGAAGATAGGACCACACACTCTGCTTCCCCCACTAGGTACTATTTCTCTGTGAATAAACTTGACCCCAGCCTCTGTGAACTTGATGAAGACAAGTTTATTCCTGGGAACCAGAGTCCACCTCCAGCCGAAAGATTTGGCCAATGATAAATATTAGCGGTTAGTTAAAGTAAGAAAGGCTGGCCAGGCAAGGTGGTTCACGCCTGTAATCCTAGCACTCTGGGAGGCTAAGGATCACTTGAGCTTAGGAGTTCAAGGCCAGCCTGAGCAAGAGTGAGACCCTATCTCTACAAAAAAGTAGAAAAATTATCTGGGCATGGTGATGCGCACCTATAGTCCCAGCTACTCAGGAAGCTGAGGCAGGAGGATCCCCGTGAGCCCGGGAGTTTGAGGTTGCTGTGAGCTATGATGATGCCACTGCACTCCATCTGGGGTGACAGAACAAGACTCTGTCTCAAAGAGAAAAAAAAGAAAAAGAAAAAGAAAATGCAGGAGTGGCCAAGGGAACCTTCCAGGAGGAGCTGGAAGGGGTGGGGTTCACCTAAAGAGGTAAAGTGGCGGTGGAATTAATGAGCTCATCCTCATCGCCAAACCCAGTCAAAGAAGCTGCCAGGAGAGCACCAGCCCCTCCCCCCCTTTATGGGTTTACCCTTTGAATGTGTTTTTTAACCCCAGTATACCTTGTGTAAAGTGTGCAAGGATGATCTAAGCAATGATCACAAAACCATGCTAGCTACAAGTAGGACTGATCGTTGGGTGGGAACTTACTTTAATCAGCAACTGACTCTACCAAGTGATCTCAGGGCCAGATCGATGTAATGACTGTTAGGGTGGGAACTTGTGGCTCGGGATGAGAAAGAATTCTCGACACAAAGATTAGGATAGTTTTAAAGAAAGAAAGTTTATTTTATTTTTCAAAGGTGGGAAGGGTGTGGCATAAGAGAAAGAAAGGAGAAGTACCAGCTCAGAGGACAAGTGGCTTGGGCTTTTATTGAGGGTGAAGAGAGGAGAAGAAAAAAAAGAATAGTTATTGTTGTCAGTTGATAGTAAGAGGGCTGTGAAGCAACTGTGTCTACCTTTTTTTTTTTTTCTGTGTGAGGCTGGTTTATCAGGGTCTTTGGAATGTGGTCTGGGGAGAATTGGGGCTGGGGAGCATCACTTTCCTTTTCTCTGTTTAGTTTTTTTCACGTGTTGTGAAAACAACTTTTTTAGGTGGTTTAGGTGATCTTAAAGACAACCAATTGAGTCACAGGTGGCTAATCAAAGAAGCAGCTGAGTGTCGTGATTTTTTTCTTTAAAGGGGAAATTATGTGTTGTGAGTTCTACTCCTCTTTTTTTCTGTTTGTTTATTTTTCTCTGTTGGACAGTTTAATAATAGGGTTGTCCTTTTAATGACTGTCCATTCAGGGGGTCATGGCCTGCACAGGGGCAAAGATCAGCCAGCGGCCAGGGTGTGCCACTTCCTCATTTTCCACCAATCTCAGCAGAGGGTGGGAGGTGGCAGGAGGCACCAGATCTGGGGTTCCAGTCTGGGCTTTGCAAATGGGCCCTCCACCTGGGCCTTGTCATGCACT